CAGCATCTGGAGAAAAAGCAACATATAAACATAGAGGCATAGAAACATCCTTCTCTCCTACTTGTTTTCTCTGCTTCCATTTTTTTCTCCACTTCACTTCAATCAATCTCAAACATTACTGCCATATTAATTTCCTGGAAATAAAGGTTTGAATGTATCAATTCCTTTCTCAAAATCTTTCAGTAACTCTTTATTACATACAGAAAAAAATCAAAGTTTCTTTCCCAATTTGGCTTACAATTCACTGTATTTTATTTATTGTAATTCTCTTTCATGCATTCCTGCCTTCAGGGCTTTGCTTATGCTGTTCTGTATTATTTATTCCTTCCAATTTCACATATATAAAGTCCTTTCATCCTTAAAGATTCTACTCACATACTACCTCCTCCACAAAGCTTTTCATGATCATCTTGGCAGGAAGTAATTTTTTTCACCCTCTTAAGTAGCATAATCCTCTGCAGTCTATAAAACTAATTTATTAACAATGAAAAACTTTTCACACTGAAAAACGTTTGGTTCATAAAATTATTTCATCCATTCAACAATCACCTGCTGTATGGGCTTTGTGCTAGGAATGTACATAGACCATTGGCAGATATGGTCACTGCCCACCATGAGAGGCTGAGCAGACTTTAATTAAGCAAGTGACATTATTATTTGTGATTATGTCTGGGAATTTGAGGCGGAAAAGCAAATGACTGCCAGCCGATAAACTTTCACACTCTGATAAGAAAGTGAATCATCTTTCTAAATGAAACGAATAGGCGAGCCAATGATGATTCAATGCTAATTCTAAGAAGCTGGTCATAGACGTAAGTGAGGAAATAGGAAATGAGACCCTGATTTTGATGAAACAACCTTGGAGGAGATGGACCACTGAGGATCGGTTTTCTGATTCTAGTAACAGGAGGTTTTGGAGTGCAGGGAAGTCGGAGCAGATTTAGCCTCGGTTATAACCAGGCTTCCTGCAGTGCTCATCCTACTAATTGGGCGATATGGGAAAACTCACTTGATTTTTTTTGGTCTTGCTAAGGATAAACACTGTCACTGAGGACTCACCAGCAGCAGGTTGTGGACTGAGCACAGGTTCACTAACATCTGTCACCAGCTGCATCCACCACGTAGGAGAACATTAAGATAAGGAGGGTCTGCCAGCCTCTGAAAAGAGGTGGAAGACTGGGGCAGGACGGAAGGGGTGGCACTACAACTTCCTGCATTGTCCACTAGAACAAACAATAAATTGTACTCTTTTACTTAAAACATTTTTTTTCATTGAAGTATATTCAGTTTACAATGTTGTGTCAATTTCTGGTGCACAGCATCATATTTCAGTCATACATATACATACATATATTGTTTTCATATTCTTTTTCATTATCGGTTACTACAGATATTGAATAGAGTTCCCTGTCCTGTACAGTATAAATTTGTTATTTACCTATTTTATATAGTTAGTATCTGCAAATCTCGAACTCCCATTTTATCACTTCCTACTCCCTTCCCCCACCGCCTCCCCCCACCCAGTAGACATAAGTTTGTTTTCTATGTCTATGAGTCTGTTTCTGTTTTGTAAACAAGTTCATTTGTGTCTTTTTTTTTTTTCAGATTCCACATGTGAGCGATATCATATGGTATTTTTCTCTCTCTCTTTAGCTTACTTCTTTCTTTTAAGAGCATTTTATTGAATCTCATCATAATGAGCCCTTATAGCAAGGTCTGGACAACTGGTATCCTCTTAAACCCTTTAGCTACTTTCAAGGAGCAACAGGAATTTCACAATGTGTTTATCTCTTTCTACTTTATAGTTATGTAAATAATGTGGTTTTTTCACTCTCAATAGACTGAAAGTCTCTTAGAGGAGAGATGGAATTATCTTGATACTCCGTAAAATGCGAATTTTTATTTTTAATAACGAGTAAGTGTGTGGAAGCCACTGTTTTAGTCAACAAATGAATGACAAGTGTATCAGTTTGTTGCCTGTTGTAACAAAGTACCACAGATGGAGTGGCTTAAACAAAAGAAGTTATGGTCTCATCATTCTGAAGGCTTGAAGTTCAAGGTCATGGTACCGGCAGTGTTGGATCCTTCTGAGAATATGTTCCTGGTCTCTCTCCTTGGCTTGTAAGTGGCCATCTTCTCTCTGTATCTCTTCACATCATCTTCCTTCTATGCATGTTTCTGTATCCAAAGTTCATATTTGCATGACTTTTAATATCAGAGATAAATATTAGCAATATGGACTCCTCATATTGATCAGAACAAGGCAAGGTAGAAAATGGGGGTTGTGTGTAAGGGTCAGATGGTAACAAGCAGGTGCTCTGGCGTTAGTAGAACTGGGCGCTGGCTCTGTTAAATGGCAGTAACTACACTCCAGTCTAGCCAAGTGTTGGCATGAGGGACGGTAGTGCCAGTATTGTTAGGTCTACTGATTTTCTGTGAAAAACTGGAAATCTAGGCCTTCATGCGGACTCTTTTGGGGTTTCTTTTTGTTTTGTTTTATGTTGGCAACAGATTTTACCATTCTTGGGACAGTCTCCATCTGGTTAAAGTTAACACCAACAAAACATCCTCTTGGCTGGATATAACCTTGAATATCCCAGTTTGTGATCTTTTGTTTTGAAACAAAAATTTCACAGAGAATTTCCTAGAAGTATTTTGCTTGATGTTATTAATGGAACATCACAGAACTCTTAGAAGACATCAAGTGTTAAGTAATACCTCTAAACGGTGAATTTTTATTTTTTAAACATTCCAATTTAGAGACAACCCGAATGATGGACATTTAAGAAGAATGTATTGTGAATTTCAAGATGGCTCACTTCCAGAAGCTTCCAAAACTTGCATTTCATTGTAATAGTCACAGGGCTTGACAGATGTGTTTCTGTCTCTGATCTTTTCCCATCAATTCAATTTGTAGAACAAAAAAGAGGGGTTGACAGAAGGAAGATTGGCAATTGTCAGCTCTGCATATGCTTAGATCTCTCTTTGACATAAGGGGACTCTTTAAAAAGACATAGGGTGATAAGGGTAGTAAGTTCTTTGTCTTCTATAAAGACATTTGCTTCTACTTAAAAATCTTTTGCTCATAAAGTTAGTTTTCCAACTGTTTAGCATGCATGGTGTCTCTGCTTCCTGCCCAGTGATGGGCAAGATACTGGGGATAGTGTGCGAGACATTTTAGATGTGGGTCCTGCCCACAGCAAGGCTGAAAACTGAGCAGGGTAACTGGACTTTAGCAACTATTTTTCAAGGCATTAATTCCGATTATAAGAAGTGTTATGAAATGGAAGTACTGAGTGCCAGGAAATCTTGCAACGGCGAGTCCTAATGTTGTCTGGGGGAGTGTGTGGGAGTGTGAGTTAGCTCAGCAAAGGGGGAGGTGGGTCCAGGGCAAGGCACGGGAAGCCTTGGGGAAGAAGATGAGCCTGGCATGGTCTAGGAGCTGAGGGTGGGACACTGGGGCTGGCAGGTAGTTGAAAGCAAGGTGGAGAGGGAGCGAAATGAAAGTGGTCAGGTTGTGGGGGGGATTTGCAACTCACATTCAAAGACAATGGTCTTTATGGAAAAAAATCAATAGGTCCAAGGAAGGCATCCTGCGGAGGCTGAGAGGGAAGAACTGGGCTCTGCGGTTACGCACCTGTGAGTCAGGGCTAGTCCTCAGTGAAGTTGAACCTCAGTGCAAAGCACACAACCCCAGTGCCACACCTCACCTCCTTGTGTGGGGACAGCTTCATTCCTTGTGTTGATTCTCACTGGAGGCAGTTTTGCCCCCCAGGGGATACTTGACAATGTCTGCACACATATTTTATTGTCAGGATTTGTGGACGGTGCTACTGGTATCTATGGGAAGAGGCCAAGGATGCTGCTAAACATCCTATAATGCCCTCATGGGACAGCCCCCACAACAAAAAACTCAGCTCCAAAACATCAATTTTACCAAGGTTTTGAAACTAAGGTTGAAGTAAACATCAAAGGAAGCTGTAATTAATGAAACTGGGAACTGAGACGAGCAACAGCAGGTAGAGGTGTCAAGAAGTGGGGCTGGGGGCAACACCTTCAGTTTTATGGCTAAATTAGCAAACATGAAATTGTATTAAAAATATAAAAACTATGTTTTGGCTATTAGCTTCTTTCTTCCCCATTTACCAACTACTAGTGGCATCTCCCAAAATATCTGGCCTAGGCCAATCAGATTTATTTAATAAACCTGACTAATTCTGCCTGCTCAGCACCAAAATAACTGTTTAAAATATTGATTGAATAAATAAATGAACATCGACTTATTTCTAGAAAATGAAATTTTGTACCATTGCAGTAACTATTGAGCTACTAATTTGTGCAAGGCACATTCTATACTTTGATCTAATCTTTACAAAAGCCCTGCAAGGGAATTATTAACTATAACTGACAGAGGAAGAAACAGAGGCTGAGGGATGTTAAGACTCTTGCTGAAGGTCAAACAACAAGTAATCTATTCGATACCACTGGCTGCTCTTTTTCATTGCTCTGTGAATGTGATTTTGCATTAAGAATGGTAGGTGAGCCAAATTTTATTCACTTCATGCATCCATTGGAATCAGGTATGGCTGCATATATGAAAAATCCCCAAATAGTGACCCGACACATGAGACTTTCATTTGAACGCACATAAATCAAGTCCAAGGTAGATAGAGTGACTGCAAGGATGTCAGAGGTCTAGACTCCTTCTTTCTTATCTAACCTTCCTTAGCACCTATTTGTATCTCAAGGCCGCCTCATGGCTCAACATGCCAGCTGGAGCTCCAACCATCAAGCCACTTAGAAGGAATGAAGAAAGGTGAAGAAAAGCAATGGGGCCTTGCTTCCTACTTGGTCCAGCTCATGTCTGAAGAGCTGCACTGGAATTTCCACGTAAATGCTTTGCCTGACCTATCGTTGGCCATTCCTCTTCAAGGGAGCTTGGGAAATGGAATTTTTTGGCTTGAGAGTGTTGCTGTTATGAAGGAGGAAGGAAGGATACATTCCATAAGAAGCCAGCGGCCATCTCTGCTGGACCACAGGAGCAGCTATCACACTTGAAGAGTAGCTTAGAGGTACCATCACTCACCCATAGTGATCGATGTTGGTAAGTACTGCGAGTAAGGGAGGTTATGGGAACATAAAACAGGAGCTGTCTTGGTTGGAGAACCAGGGAAGGTCTCCCAAGGAAATGACATTGAAGGTGAAAGCAGGTGGATGAATGGGAGTTAGCCATGCAAATATGAAAAAGAGCATTCCAGCAGGGGAACAGTGTATACAACCAATCTGAGGTGGAAACTCTGCCAGCAGAGACTGATCTTCTACTCTGTGATGACCTTTATTATTGAGTATGACTAGAGACAAAGAGTCTGCCCTCAAGAAACTTATATTTGAAAAAAGTGTCTTGAGAATAAACACCAGCAAACAAGATTCTTTCTGGCACTGGTCAATTTTATGAAGAAAGATTGGTTGGAAAAGAGGGTGCATTTAAATGATAGGAAGAGGTCAGGGTTGCTGGACTGTAGTGAACAGGGGCAGAATGGAGGAGGATGCATTAAGAGAGGTCACTAGTGGCAAGGTCACCCAGGCCTCATGAATGATGCTAAGGTTTTGTGGAGGTACAGGAAGACGTTGTGATTTTTTTCTTATTTTTTATTGAAGTGTAGTTGATTTACAATGTTAGTTTCATGTGTACAGCAAAGTGATCCAGTTATACATATACATACATATTTATATTTTTCATATTCTTTTCCATTACAGCTCATTACAAGCAATTGAATATAGTTCCTTGTGCTATACAGTAGGTCCTTGTTATTTATCTATTTCATACGTAGTAATATTTATCCATTAATCCCAAGCTCCTGTTTTATCCTTCGTCCACCACTTTCATCCCTGGTAAAAATGGTTTGTTTTCTATGTCCAAGAATCTGTTTCTGGTTTATAAATAAAATTTGTATTTTTATAGATTCCACATGTAAGTAACATCATATGATATTTGTCTTTCTCTGTCTGACTTACTTCACTTAATGTGATAATCTCTAGGTCCATGCATGTTGCTGCAAATGGCATTATTTCAATTTTTATGGCTAAGTAATATTCCATTGTGTATGTGTGTACACACACACACACACACATATATATATACACACACACATACCACATTGGCTTTATCCAGTCATCTGTCAGTGTACATTTAGGTTGCTTCCATGTCTTGGCTATTGTAAATAGTGCTTCTGGGAATACTGGGGTGCATATGTCTTTCTGAGTTACAGTTTTCTCCAAATATTGGAAATGTTTTAAGTAGGAAGATGATAAAATATGATGCACACTTAGAAAGATCACTGAGATCCGGAGAACAAACCATATATAAATGGAATGCAAATACTCGGACTGGATAAAATCTCTAGGGAGTGAAGATCAGGTGCCCAACTTTGAGCTCAGAGAGCACTCCAGCTTTACTTTGTGACCCGAGCAAGTGACTTACTCTGTCCAAGTCTCACTTTCTTCATCATAAAAGGCTATGACAACCACTCATAGGATCATCGTGGCAATATGAGATGAGATAATATTTTACAGCAACCTTGCATAATACTTTGCACGTGGTTTACACATCTGACCTCTTAACCCCTTCTCCCCTTCAACATGTATGCCGCTCTCCTCTGACACATCACACGAGGTCTCAGGTGGGAATGTTTTGATCATGAGGCACCAACTTTAAATGGGAACCCAATAGATTATATGGCACTTTGGAGTCTCAGCAATTTTACAAAGTCTTGAATCTTTCTTAAACGAAAAGTGGGGAACACGCTGGTGCTTCAGTGGCACTTGGACATCTCAAAATGTTTTGCAAACAACTTGAAGCTGCTTCCTGGTGCTTCTGAAACCTCAGGAACCCTCCACTGTCTCTGCAGGTATGTGAAAGGAATTTGATTGAACTGGAGCCACTCTGGTGGATAAGAGTGAGATAAAGGATTTCTTCAGAGAGAAATTCATCAAGCCAGTTTCCTTTCTATTTCTCTAATATCTCAGCTAAATCTGGTTGGTCAACATGGGCTTGACCACTGGCTTTGCTCCCCATCTTTACTCTCTGGACCTAGGTCTTCTCCTTTTGTCTTGCTCAGAAATCTTGTTCCAGCCTACAACAGTCTCCTACCTTAAACACACCCATAAAACCCAACAGACAACCAGTGTGAAAGAAACAAACCACAGTGCATAAAGGCTGTATGTCCTTCACTTTGCTGAAATGCATTTTTAAACATTCGAAAGAAATAAAAAAATAAAAAGAATCATTCCCTATATGAGAAAAACCAATGGATTCTAAGGAATCAAAACAGATTATGAAAACTGCTGGGGTGGTGTTCTCATGAAGAGTGCTCGGAGTGATAATGAGACATTCTTCAACAAAGGAGGGATGATTAAAAGAGTGTGGTGACATAAAAACTCATTGCCAAGGCATTTTTCTTCTCAATTGGAACAAGACTATCCTTGAGTTTTGTTTTTGTTTTGCTTCATTTTCTGGCTGAACTCCAAAGAATATTCTATCCTTATGTTTTCACATGAAGTTATATTCTTTCCATGGGGCAGAAAGAAAGCAAAAAATTGCAAGGGGGAAAAAGAGGTGTCTTACTTCAAAAAAAAAAAGGAGGACTCAACTAGGAAAGATTTCCTGTCTTTGATGGGTTGTGCGCAGTCAAATCAAGATACATTGAGTCTCATGGAAGAGAGGGATTTCTGTAATCTAAAATATTGCCCAAGGGACTGGACGAGGCTCGCATAGATAGATGGGTCTGCCCTCTGCATAGGAAAGTAGAAGTTGTTTACCACACAAAGCCTGGATCATATGAAGAATGAATGAGATAATGCAAGAATCAAAGCTTGATTAAGCTATGATTGATGATAATTGGAGTTTGGTATATGAAAAAACTACCATCCTGTACCTAAGTGTTCATATTTCTATAAATCTTGCTCTAAATTGTGATGTATCATCTATATATTCTAGTAATGAACAGACAAATAATTTATGTCACTCCTTTAAAACAAAGATATATTTTGTAGGAGAACAACCAGAGACTTGCTTGTATGCTCACCTAGGTTACTTTGTCCTGCTCAGTCTTGCCTTTGAGTTGAGGAAGTTTGACTGAAAACACCACAATTCGTCTGCTGGCAGTTTGCCCACTCATGTCTTGGGAAAATATAGTATGTTTCTTCCAGATAGGTTATGGACACCTAAAACCTAAAACCTATTAACTATTGTAGGCAGCTTGAGCTCTAGAAAGCAGTATAGTAGAGCTGTGCTGCTCAAAGTAGAGTCTGTGGATTGATGCTGATGAGAAAAGTGCAGAAACTGAAGGGGAGCATTTAGAGACTTTCATGGCAATTTGATGCTGCTGTGATACCTACACCAGGAATGGGGCCCTGTATCATCTGTGATGGTTTGAAAACTAATAAAACAAAACAAAACGAATAAACAAGAGAACAAACAAAGCAACTGGTTCTTCATCACAGAAGTATAAGAAGCACCAAGTTAAAGAAACTGACACAAGTCAATCTGGTCCCCTTTGCATTCTGGTTCTACCACGTGGATCAGTCACCTCCGTGCTTGAGTTGGAGTCATTTGACCTCCACTAGAGGACCCACTCTGGAAATAGTCCTTTCCTCAACAATGGGGAAAGAGATGGAAATTTAAGAAGCCAGGCTCAATGCTTATCCTTTCAATAGCTATTTATTGATTTTTATATGCCAGCTATTGTGGGTTCTAGGGCTATAAATATAAATAAGAAACTCTCCCTGAATCAAAAGGCTTAAAGGCTGTTTGGAAAAGCATAAACCAATGGATACAATATAATTTAATTGAGTCAGTAAACCTCTGTTCTCTCTTTCTTCCCCTCCTTTCCTGTCTTCCAGAAGTACTTCTTGCTCCCTACTTTAGACACCATGTTTTACACTGACCATTTAGTGCTGAGAATGCTGTTCTCTCTCTCACATGGAGATTTCAGCTTTGTCCAAAAGACAACCATAAGATAGATAAACACACAGTGTAATTAATTGATTAATTGATTAATTAATCCAATGAGCAGCCATTACTGCAAGTTAAAATAGAGCTGTGAAAACCTGTGGAGAGAGACCTAAACCTGACTCAGCCTCGGGTGACAGTGGATGGGCCAAGTGGGGAAGGTGTCCTTGAGGGTGGAATATTTGAGCTGGTAAGGGTAAGTGAGAGTTGTTCCAGGGAAGAAGTGGACAAAGAGTGTCGTAGGCAGAGAGAACAGCATGTACAAAGGTCCTGTGGCAGGAAGGAAGCTAATATGGCTCAGGTGCTGTGAGACAGGAGATTGCCTTGCAAATCTAAGACGTTTGCAGTCTGCGTCTTACTTATACCTATTAGCCTGGCTATCACTTAATTGTTTCCCTTCTCCATAAACCAAGGAGTCCAAATAATTGTATTCATGAATTTTCCCTTATTCAGGAGACCCTATATTGTAATGCCTTGCTTTTACAAATGGTGGCTAGAAGAGAAACTCCCTCTAGATTTTACTGAGTTAGATTTGATGGGAAGTGCCCTATCTTTTCCAGCTCTAGTATTCTGACTCTATGACTTCCTGTATTATAATAAGAGAAGCTAATAGCTCTAACATGTATTGAATTGTTACTTTGTGGCAGGCGCTGTGTTAACCACTTTACTTAGATTTTGTGGTAACTATATGCAGTGGTTACTACTGAAATTCCTATTTTACAGATGGGGATACTGAGAATTGATGAGATCAGACAGAAAGTGGGGAGGGAGCAGGGACTGAGAGGAGGAGTGCAATATACCTGGTTCCAATCTCTGAATTCTGACTTTTGTCCCTTGCCTCTCCTTTTCACTCATTTTTTAATGATACTAATCTTTTGACATTCAGTACTAATGCCCCACCTGGTCATAACCATTAAAAGCGCCGTATGTTTTCTAATCTCTGTGGTTGTCAGTGAACTATCACAGCACATGCTCTTCGCATGGACCACACGGACATGATCCCACGGCACTTTGTGCTATCCGCTGCTTGTTTAATGGGTAGGGTGCATTACCCCCAATCACAGTAATGGCTTAAAAGGTAGGAAATATTTCCT